GTGCAAGCAATGGGAATTTTGGCTGAATCTCCATGTGTTCACACCATTCGAATCTTCACTCTTGGCTGGAGAGCTTGCCATCACCGAGATCGATGGCAATCGCATGAAGAAGCTGCGCAGTGGAGGGCCCTCCATATTGCCACGGGTATTTGTCCAAGCTGGGATGCAGAAGGGCAGGCTGCTTCGGAGCGGCGCATTACTTGTCCATGAGAAACTGGTTACCAATCATGGAGAAAACTACAGCCAACATGTTCCTGACGAAGAAGTCATGACTTGGCTGGATGCAACTATTGTTGTTGCTACAACTTCTCCCGGTTCCAACGCGCCAGAGAAACATCAAGACAGAACAAAAAACAACAGATGTGCACTGGATTTGTTTTGTTCCCGGCTCGACGTGGATGACATACCTGCATTAATTGTAGTTCTGTTATTGGACATGCCAATCATGGTTCTTGGTCTGCACTCATTGGACACGGCAAGATTCGTTGTTTCCCTAGGAAATACAATATTTTCACTTCTCACAATGCCGCTCTTGCAAAGAAGATGGCGCATGCATGGTCCTGTCGACATTGGGATGGGCTATGGTTTCATCGTAACCGCCGGCACCGACTCATTTGGTAAAGGTCACGAACAAGATAAATATACCATCATCAATGGAGCAGAAATGCTGCCTGCTTCAAGTCTTCCTGTTCCACCTGTGAAGGCGTCGCGGACGCTCGTAAACGAGCTTCGCGCCGTCCAAGTAACCGCCATTTCCCTGCGAGATGGGGTGGAAGATAAAACCAAGTGGCGTGCGCCTACTCAGATTGCGGCTGACGAATCCAACTCATCTGACTCTGACTCGTCAGTTGACTGTAACCAGGGTGGCGAATCATCCCCACTCTCTTTGAATTACTCGACCTTATCGATTGCTGTACGCAATTTCATCGATGCTGTAGTTCAGATGCCTCTCCGCTTGTTCACTATTTCCAATGGCACCCATACTTCCGGAAGTAACGCCATCTTTCATGTCGGATGGTTCCTCGAGCGTCAAAAGCAAGACATTGGCTTCTACACGTCACTCTTCAGTACCAAGGTGTTTCAAACTGCCCTTGGAAACTGGCCTTGGGCCAAACACCCCGCATGTACTAGACACGGGAATTTTGACTGCCCCACTGCACATGCTCTTGCTGCTCATCCTGCTAGTACCCACCTTCCTTCCCTAGTGCATCCTAATCCAGCCTGAGTTCCAAGTCT